TACAATCCATTTATCCAATCCATACTTCTTTAGCTTGCTGGCAAGAATACTGTGGGAGACCGTATCAAAAACTTTGCTAAAGTCAAGGTATAGCATATCCACTGCTTTCCCCACATCCACAGAGCCAGTTACCTCATCCTAGAAGGCATTTAGGTTGGTCAGCCATGACTTGCCCTTGGTGAATCCATGTTGACTATTCCTGATCACTTTCCCCTTTTCAAGTGCTTCAAGATGGGATTCCTTAAGGATCCCCTCCATGATTTTTCCAGGAACTGAGCTGAGGCAGACTGGTCTGTTGTTCCCTGGATTCTTCCTTATCCCTTTTTTAAAAGATGGGCACTACATTTGCCTTTTCCAGTTGTCCAGGACCTCCCCAATTGCCACAAGCTTTCAAAGATAATGGCCAATGGCACTACAATCACATCAGCTATCTCCCTCAGCATCCTCAGAGGCATTAGATTTGGCCCCACATTTTTGTATATGTCCAACTTTTCTAAATATTTCTTAACTAGTTCTTTCTCCATTTTGGACTGCTCATCTCCCCATACAGTGTTGCCCAGTGCAGCAGTCTGGGAGCTGACTTTGTCTATGAAGAAAGAGGCAAAAAAGCATAGAGTTTTCTCAGAGGCCAAAGTAAAAAAGCAATGGGATTTATTATTACTGATCATGTGTTGATTAGTAGTGAGAGATTCGGGATGTTGCTTGTAGGTTTTGGGTGAGATTTCCATGTGTTTGTATCAGTATACTGCAGAGATCTGGCACAAATGTTTCTTGTTACTAGCTGTGTGTGTATGTTTTAATCACCAAAGACTAAGCATATGTTGTTCTGGATGACATTTTTGGAAGAAATATTTTGCCATGAAAAATGCAAACCTCTCCTCCAACCTTCCCCTTCAAATTTGAAATATTTTGTTCTGACATAGTCTATATAAAACTTTGATTTTTTTGAACTGAAAGAATGGTTTGTTTGAATTTTCCTTCAAATTCACTTTAAAATGAAAACATTAAAAAATGCTCAATGTGTAAAAACTGACTGAAAACTTAAAATTTGGCAAGTAAGACCACAAATCCCATGTGTATGTTGGTTGTGTGAACGGTTCTATTTATTTATGTGTCTTCTTTATGACTTGTGTTGATTGTGCAGGTGTAGCATGCAGGACATGTGCTGTGGTGAGGGGACTATATGTGTTCGGAGTTACTGAGTGGAGGGAGGTTGTGTTGAATCAAATAATCCACCAGCTGTTTAGGCTCCCTCATAGAACCAATGAAATTGCTGCATGAAAATTACCTGTAAATAAGGATAGAGATTGATTGAGTTACCTGTGATGTCACAATAATCTAGGTCCCCTGGTGTGGCATAGACACATGCCTTACTGCATCTGTTCATTACGTAGATGCAATTTTTAAAATAAAAATGGCTGAGAACTTAAATTTAGATGGTTACAGATGGTGAAACTCAGTGCTGATTCAAGTTGGTGTTATTCTGCTTATAAAGAGTACTCAAGCATGCTTAAGCTGTTATCATCATTTCACATTGCCTCAACAGACATTTTAGGCTTTGGAGTGACACAGACATTCCTGATATCTTACTATGTAGATAATAGCACAGATTATCTGCTGTTATTGAATATCCTGGGTCCCTCCTTCCATATCTCTTCATGGTTCTGAGTCCTGTTGGCTGTATTCTAGGCACAGAGACAGAAAAAGAGCTTTCGATATTAAGCAAGAACAGGAAGTTCCCAAACACCTAGAAACTGTTATATTAGACCTTTGGTTTTTGTTTGGAGATCGTGGCAGAGCCTGGATCAAACTCTGTAGCCTCAAGCAAGCATCACAGCTTTTCTTACCATACTTGCTGGCACATGTTCTTGCTATCAGCTATGCAAGACTGGGCTTCTATCTCTTTACTCCAAAAGAAAATGGAGTTTTTGTTTGGAGGAAAAAAAACCAACCAACCTGTTTGGTGCCTAATAGAGAGACATGAGTTAAAGGCTGCACCCTAAAAACAGAATTTGCCATTGGTTTTTGCTAGAAATGAAATTTTGGTAGCATTCGAAATAGAGTGTAACTAAATTGCATTTATGCATCACCTTTCCTTCAAAAGGATCTCAAAGCATGGCCATTAACCATCTCTTGTAATGCAGGCTCCTCCAGGGTGGATCAACAGCTATTTATTGCCAGAAATATCAGGCTTTATTTTATTTAATTGATTAATTTAACAGTGACAAACTCTTGACCCAAGCCTTTGCATAATTTCAAATGACATAATATGAAAATACTCAAGTATTGCACAATGGTTTACTTTTAGGCATATTAAAAAGAACATCTGTGCAGATGGACCTGGCTGCTGATGGAACACCTGAGATCTGCAGGCTCTAGAAGACAAAAGCCCTGTGCTTCCTAGGGATTTCACAGTGTAAATAAGCAAACAGTTAATAAGCCTGGGCTCATTGGGAAACCTTCACGATTACACACAATCTCTCCCCCTGCTTCCTCTGTATCAGAGGCAGCAGTGAGGCAGGGGAGTGCAGGTGGCAGCCAGTGCTCGCAGGGAGCCAGTTTAAAAGCCATCTTCACACGCATAGAGGTTTCACCTGCCCTCCTGTGCTGCTGCCCCTGACACGTAGGTAGCAGCATGGCAGGATGGGGATGCAAGCTGGCTCTTGTGGAGTTGCTTCCCTTCACCCCCTGACGCGTGTAAATGTGTACCCTCTGCAAATTTCAGTGGGTACACATTTACCAAAATAAAAGAATTTTAACATTGCTAGTGTTTCCATGCTGCCTCCTGACTGCTTTGCTTCACTCCCATTAGTACAGTTATCCAGGGCTACTGTTGTTGGGAAATGCCTTCCAAATTTTGCAAACAAGTTTTGTTTTTCAAGATTTTTGAACTTTTTGATGAAAACCAAAATCTTTCTCCTTTTTTAAGTTGAGGAAAAAGAGATTGTAAGAGGGAAAAAGGGAAAATGTGAGAAAAATATGCCATGAAAATTTTCAAAACCAGCTCTTCCCAAAAACTATAAAATGAAAACATTTTCCCAAACTTATACAGGCAGTCCCCGGGTTACGTACAAGATAGGGACTATAGGTTTGTTCTTGGTTACGTACAAGATAGGGACTGTAGGTTTGTTCTTAAGTTGAATTTGTATGTAAGTCGGAACTGGTACATATTGTAGGGGAAACTCTAGCCAAACATTTCTCCAGAGCTCAGTTTTATTCTCCCACACCTCACTTCCCTCAGTCCTTTATTCTCAAGCTGAGAAAAGCCGCTCCGCGTCTCCCTGGTCTGCTGGGGGGAAGCAGCTAGTGCGGGGTTGCCTCACCCCATTTGTAAGTAGGGATCCGATGTAAGTCGGATTCATGTAACCCGGGGACTGCCTGTATCCATTGTCCATTTGCCTCGTTACAGATAACTGTCTTGAAGCAGCATGCCTGGCAAATTGATGGTGATTTGCACTAACTGGTTATATGATATATAATTTATCACCCTTTCACTGGTAACTAGCACATTGTTTGCATCACAGCAAACACCGCAAAATGTAACAGATTAATTTGTATTATAAGACACAGAACCAAATGAATGTTGGTGAATTTGCAGTCATGCAAAACCTGGTTGCTAGGTCTTTTTAAGCATGTGCTCATTGTTATTACTACCCAGATAAATATTAGTAGAAAATTGGCTGCATGCACCTACGTATTTAAACCTTTCCATTTAATGCTTAATGAGGAAAAACTGACACATTCAGAAGTCTCTCTTGTAAAGACAAGACGTTCTTCCAAATGTATATCCAGAATATCAAATTACTTGATGACTGGTTAGCTACCCAAATGAGTTATGGTATGACCTTTGTTAATTAATATACCTGGAAAGCCATCAACATGGGGTGGGGATGGGGGTTCTGGTGTGTTCATTGAGGTCACTGAGGCTCAGTTGAACTGAGGGGGCTGAGTGTGAGGGATAAACTGGAGTGATCAGTGAAAGCTGAAGGGAGATAGGGTATGTCTACACTACCCTGCTAGTTCGAACTAGCGGGGTAATGTAGGCATACCGCAATTGCAAATGAAGCCCGGGATTTGAATTTCCCGGGCTTCATTTGCATAAGCGGGGCGCCGCCATTTTTAAATCCCCGCTCGTTCGAACCCCTTGCCGCGCGGCTACACGCAGCACGAACTAGGTAGTTCGAACTAGGCTTCCTAGTTCGAACTACCGTTACTCCTCATGGAGTAGTTCGAACTAGCGGGGTAGTGTAGACATACCCTTAGAGAAGAGATATATGAATGAAAAATTAGGGTTGTGCTCTTTTAAAGCTAGCTAAAATTTGTTGTAGGTCAGAGGGGATTGGAAACCTCCCAGCCAAAGACAATAAGCAGGCAGCTGCCATGAGCAAGGCTGAACATTTGTACACACGGTGGGAATGAGCTTTAGCTTAGACTTTGCCATTTACCCTGCATGCGCCTTTTCTAGGCTGACAAACTATTTAACTATATTTAATGCACATCAAGACCATTTATTAAACATTCATGTATATTAATACAATCCCTTTTACAACTTTTATACTTTGCAGGTGGTAAAATTTTAAAGGACCAAATTAAACAACATCAAGAATTTTCAAGCAGATTCTTAAACCCCAATTCATAATATTATTTAAAAATACGTAATGTTAAAAACATAAGTAATCTAATTAAAGCCAACAGCTTCTCACCTGCTCATGTTTGAGTGCTCTGCTGGACTGGGGCCTTACTGCCCAACCCAGCATGCTGGTGAGACTTGTGGGAATTGAGGGTGCTCAGTACTAGTTAGGATCAGGCCCTTATTTCTCAAATACCCCTGTACCAATTGTTCCCCCATAAAAACCAACCCAAAACAAAACAAAAAACAAACAAACAAAAAACCCCAGCTTTTTATATTACACATAATGAAAAAGGTACTCTTTCTTCAGCCTGGTCAAGAACGTTTTCTTCTTCCATTGGAAATGTTCACGAAAAACTTTAAAAAAATAAAGATTTAACATCATTGTATTTATTAGGTTCTGAAACAATACACATTCACATCCTTTTGTATACAGTACATTTGGCACAGTAATAATGTTTACAATGAAATAACACTAATGATGGCAAGAAATTCAAATTACACCCATAAGAAAAAGAAATCCTGTACAAATAAAATCTCAGATCCACCCTCCAAAAAAACCAAAAACCCTAACCCGAAAACTGAATACATTTTCTATTTAAAAAGAGGTAATTTTTTAGCTTTTTGGAGAGAATTCATTATTTTTCACTCTGAAATATTTTTCCGTAATTTTTTTATAAAATCTATTAGGGGAAAAATAAGAAACAGTGGATTCCTCTTTTTTGGCATTTTGCACCCATTTTACAAAAAAACAAAAAACAAAAAACAGGAAAGATTATACAGAAATGTAACAGCATGTCCATTTTTAAGAATTATCTTTAAAAAATGTTCAAGGTAACAGACAAACCTCCTAATGTAAACCCCATACAGAAGATCTGTTTACTTGTATTGAAGAAACATCTGCCCATGAAAAAACTTTACTTTATTGACTTTTCACTTAGCATCCTTACAAAAAATGCAGGTGCCAAGGCCTCTTGTAATAGAAATGTTTGTTGATGATTTTCATGCTAAAAACAGGAGTGATCTAAACCGTTTGCTCACAATAGTTTTGTGGAATATACTTACTCCCTAAAATCAAATGCTAATAATTTTGTATAAAGGCCTCTAATTTTACAAACAGTAGTGCACTATGCAATTGTTTTTCTTCATAGCTAGTTTATACACCTGTGTAAAAGAACCATTTAGCACTGTCAGTTCTTGCCAAAAGCTAAATGTGGTGAAAACAACACAGAGCCAGTAGTGATGCATGAAAATATATGGGCAATGTTGCAACAGTTTCCTTTAAAAAAATGAGATGATGTACTCATTAAGATGTTTCTGTGCTTGTACTCAACTCCAGAAGCTAGTCTTTTCCCAGTACATAAATTTACTGAAGATAAATTAAATTAATCTAAAGGTTTGATTCATTATTACACCTGTAGGCCAGACAACACATGAATTGATATAGCATAATATTTTGAAATCATCATAAGAATATATATATATTTATATATAATAATAATTACACCTGAGTTTTTAAAAAAACAAAATGGAACTGAATGTTGTCATCAGTAACAAAGGCTATAAGCAGCCAGATGCATAATTGACACAAACTCACTCATTTGCTTGAGATCACAATTTATCTCTTAAAGCCAACGACTCGCACGTTGTCCACCACGATTTGTAACATTCCTTTCTCTTTCCTAGCTCTATCATATCATAGAGTTGAAGAGAACTATAAAAGAGATTTAGTATAGCTTAATATATGTCTACATCTTTTATAACAAAAACAACCTCATCTCTGACAGTAACTTGAACCAATACACATACAGAGTATTGCACATGGACATTATTATAATTATTCTTTCATAGACTAAAGTTTTTATAATATGCCTGAACATGCAGCAGTTGATATCTCTATATTCAATGAATTCCACAGGCCTTGCAGCAAACACTTATATACAAAATCTCACCTGTACAAAAGGCAAAAAAAGCTTCTTAAGTGCCACTTTGCCAGTAACAAGTATATATATTTTTTGTGCAGCTGGAAATCCATGCACAACAATTAAAATGGATTCCATTAACTGCTCACTCAGTCCAGTAAAATATATAATAAAATTACCTCAGCAATACAGGGACACAAAAACACAGGGTACTTCTGGAAATATAAGTACATAACACTGTTAGCATATGTACAGGAGGTAACTTCACATTAGTAATATTGTCCACATGAGTTACCATTTCAATTGATACACAAGAAAATCAATTTACATCTTTCAATAATGTCAGTTTTTCAAAGTTTGATCTTCAGTCTTTCAACACACTTTCACATAATCCATGTTAAGCTTGCTTTGTGTTTTAATAGCACAGATTTCATATTAGATTTTAAACATTAAAACAGTAGTACTATGGTTTTGTAAAAGTGTGCAAAAGTAACACACTGCTGTGAAAAATACATACATCTAATTAAGAAGAGTTGGTATCATTCAGATTGAATACAATGGACTAAAACATTATTTTTTCTTTTTAGAAAATTGTAATTTAAAACACCTCCATGCCTGCCATTACAATCCATCAATGGCATGTTTGTTTTGGGTACAAACTTTTACTAAGAAAGAAAAGTAATGTTTTACCCCATTACCTGTCAAATTTGTAGTAAACCTTATGTAGCTTCATTAAAGCTATAATAGGCTTTTGGAGAACTGATTAATTCTTATATGTTAGCCCTTTAATACCTGTCTATAAAGTATCTGATTGCCTATTTTAAACAACTTTTTATTACATTATCTTCATGATCCTTTTTATTTCTAACTAATATTAATAAAAAATTAGCTATGTCTTTTTTGGTGGATAGTTTTACATTATGCTTGTAACCTAGTAAGTTAAAGCACACATGATCAATAATTGCACATCCAAGAAAGTAGACTTTCAGTTACCACAAATTTTTGTATAATTGTCTTCTTCACATTTGAGTACAAACCTTCATTGTAATCATCGGTGAAGAAGAAATGGCTCTTTTAATTAAAGGTGCATGGCAATTATGTAATGTTGTAGGATGAGAAATAAAACCTGCTAAATCAATTTTAAAACAGTATGGCTCTTTTGGTTCATAAAAAGATGCAAAATTTGTCCTTTCTGGGATACCTTATGTGTAACAGAAAGGTTGCAAACTGCAAAAGCACGGCAGTGTGTTACATCTACAGTTTCTGATACAAAATTGTTTTGCATTGTTTGAGAGTCAGAAAATAAGAGTGCCTTCAGAGCAGAAGATGCAAGGAAAAAATAAATATATAGTTAAATGGGGACAAGGGCTCATGGTAAAAGAAGTAGTTCTTGGTCTATTGAGTCTCAATAACTGGAGGATCTTCTTAGGACCACTTCTTGCGACAGTATTCATCTGGCAGTCCATGGCTGACTATGGCAGTAGTTCCTCTCCAAAATAAGAGAACCCTTTAAATTCTTCTTGATTGATTTGCTTTATAATTGTCTCATCCACTAGCGTTAATACTGGCTCTTCTCGTGTAAAGTCTTGATCAAAGTTATTTACGTCCCTTTTGGTTTTCTGAGGAGGAAAGTATAAAAAAGGCAAATGAATGATAAAGCAACAAACTAAAACCAATAAAAATAAAAACTACTTTATGGGGGAGAGACTGAAATAAGCAGAACTTTCTGAAATGATAAAGAAAAGCTATTTTAACACAAGGAATAATGATACTATGGGAAAAGCTACAAAGGGAGGCCTCAGAAGCAAATACTATAGGGAGCTCAGAGAGAGCCCTGCTGGTTTCTGGAGAGTGAAGGGGTGGTGATATGAGAAAGCAGGAAGCTGAGATTGAGTCATTATAAAAGAAATGGCATGGTAAGCAGCATGACATTTCCTATTCTTACATTTTTACATGGTCTTAATGGCCTCACACTTGAGAGGTTTAAAGTGAACTGTCTTTTTCACAAGACAAACTTCTTCTAGAACTCATGACAGATCCTAAACTGAGCACCTTGGAGGCTCAGCACAGGCAATTCAGTTTTCCCACGCTGCCCTGCTAATTTGATCTGGATAAATCAGCTCTAGAGCTGAAATCCTGGGCCTAATGAAATCAGTGGCAAAGCTCCCACTGAGTTTATTATAGCTGGGAATTCATTCTACGACCTCCACAGACATTTAGTCCTTGGTCTTTTCTTGGCAGCACTGTTGTGATTTAGATATCTACCAAATAGGGGCTGGACTAAAAACACCAACTTTTTTCAAACAGATCATTGAACAACCAAATGATAGTGATTATGGCCAGTCTCTACTCACATAGAAATAACATGGAGATATGTGAGAGAGGTAAAAAGCTCCATCTCTCATTAGAAATTTCTTGAACTCTTCAGTGTTCTTGCATTCCACATGAATGCAGTCATATTGACATATGCACAGTGTCATTGAAAGGAATAGGCTTTTTTTTTTTGTTTAGACCTATTCTTTCAGAAGAGTTACAGCTTAATCAAACTTGATTCAATGGAGGCAAAAATGCCATTTTAAAACTTTTTTTTAATCAATCTTAAAATCAAATATGGATGGTTTTGAGATTAAGATACCAGAAATATAGCAACAACACAAATTACAATGTACTATCAAATCATATTCTAAAGAGATGTGTATACCAAAACCAATATATGTATCTGCTTTCAGTATATAGCTATAACTCTTGCTAATACTAATGAGAGGATATACTCATCAACGTGTTTAGATGATCAGCTCTACTGATTCATTACAAACTATTTTTCTTTATTTGACATAACTGACATCTGCAAAATGTAACTAGCATAATCTATTTTGGCTGCATGGATTTTATATAATTTATCTGTCATAGCAAAATAATTTCCCTACTTAAAATGAAGGCACTACAGGATCTGTAATGGGCAGTGAATAACATGCATAAATCCTCCTACCTGATAATGGAATTTCTGCAGGTATATACAGGTTGTACCTCCCTTCACTGGGACACTCTGGTCTGGTAACATCCATGGTCTTTCAGGATCACGGATGTTCCTGGACCACAGAACTCAGGTATAGGGAGGTCGGGCCACAGGGCAGGAGTGGTGGGGGGGCACAGAGACTCAGCCAGGAGCCAGGGTGTGGAGGGACAGCCAGCATAGAAGGCAGTTGGCAATGGCAGCTGAGTAGCTACGGCCCCAGCCGTGGAACTTGGGGCAGCAGACGCAGCCATAGAGCTTGGGGATGGCAGTGGCAGCCACGGAGCTCCAGCCATGACTGCAGAGCTCTATCTCTGGCTGTGGAGTTCCGGCATCAGTGGCAGGCAGGGAGCAGTAGGGCTAAGCTAGAGCCTTAGCCTGAGCAGCAGGATAGCAATGGCCATGTTGGGAGAAAGAAAACCAAACCACTGACATGAACCCTAACTGAGAAGAAGAAAGACACTCCTACATTCCCCTGGCACATCAGAGCCTACCGGGGCTCAGGATAGTAGATTTTGTGTGCTTCATCCTAGGGGGGAATGGTGGGGAGACTGGAGTGCAGTGCAGGCTCCTGAATGCTGAGGGAGGAGCACAGAGCCTCAGGGGCTGGATTCAGGCACGCTGGGGGCCGTATCTGGCTTCCGAGCCTTAGGTTCCCCACCCCTGCACTAGATAAATTGTAAGTAGTGGCAGCAGTGGCATGGTTTATGTACTGTGGTACATAATTGTCATATCCAAGCCATGCTACCACTATTGCTGATACCGTGCTACACTTCAATTTATACTCAAATTACCCTGATAAGAACTCACACAAACTCGTGTATGCAAGGTGGGAATCCCATCCTTGCCTGCAATATAGTTGTAACCAAAAAGTATACAAAGGGAATGGGATTCCAGTAGAGCCAATCCTAGGCATTCACACTTCATGTATAGAGCTACAAAAAAACCTCATGATTGAATTAAAATCATACAATCATATGACTCCAGGAGCCAAAGCTTTAAGACACCAATTATCACAGCATTCTGATAATATCTCGAGAGTTGGCAACAGTGGGACTTTCTCAGGGGAACTCCCAAGGCAGCAAAGCCAGGAAAGTACTGGAAGTCAGAGGAATTGGCAGGTTGTATAGCATATAAATCAGGCTTCAGCACAGAAGCCCAGGTGGAACACAGCTCTCCATACAAACTGACTTCCAATACAACAGATGTCACAGAGAAAGTCCACTTGGTTTCAGAACGTGAATGTCTTCTGGGTTGTTTGAACAGTGGTGTCTAACCCAAGTGAACTGTACTAATGAATAAGAGACAATGCAACTACAAAGCAGTTTCTGATGGAAACTAAAGGATACTATTATCACACACCCCCTCATGCTTTATGAAAATAGGCATATGAGCATGAGAATGCATAATTCTATGATGCTTTATGCAAAACAGATCATGCAACATGCCATTTTAAAGGATGTAATCCACGGGATCTGTATTTCCTATTTTTGTGCATGTTTCATTCCTGTATGTGAAGTTAGAAATAGGAAGTGTGGATCTGTATATAATTCTAAATGTGCTAATGGGGGACATTCCTGATGCTCCAGAAGCATAATGACTCAATGATCAAGTCAACAACCTAGAAATAGTTTTGTTTTCTTTTTCCTGTAAGTCCAAACTGTGGTTGGTCCTACAAAGACATGTGGCCAGGCCACCTGATGCTGAAACTAATTTTGGATCTTATACTTTCCCACTCAAGGTGAGAAAAGTTTAAACTGAACACAAAGAATTCCTGCCTTAAGCAAAAGAGAGGTAAGGAGGGAACCAAACAATGGGAGCAGTTGCCTGTTACCAGATGCCCTTCTTACCACCTAAGATGCTTGCTGGAAACATCTAAGACTGGACAGGGGGAAGGATCAGGCCCAAGCTAGGAGGCTGCTTAGCTTGTGAAAGACATGTTTAGAACAACTGGTTAGGGCAAGAATTTGCATGAAGTCAATTTCTTAGTGGATTAGGGTTAGCTGGCATTTTTTGTCTATTTTAATTTAGCAACTTACTTTGATCTGACTGTTTTCACTTGCGATGACTTAAATCTGACTTTTTGTACGTAACAAAATCACTTTTGTTTATTGTCAAGCCCAGGTTAAATAACAGTCACCTCTTTCATTGGTAAAGAAGCCTGATCTTATGAGCTTTCTCTGTGTAAAATTCTGACAGTGCAAGATGCATTTGTTTGGGGTTTTGGTCCCTGTTGGCAGTTGGTTTCCTGGATGCAGAGCCCTTAGAGCTGAGCCCTGGAGCTGAATTAATTCAGCATCTGTGTTGCTCTGCAAGGGGGTGGTAAACCCAACTCTGTGCCTTGGCTAGAAGAGACCAGAGCCTCTGTCCCAGCAGGACAGGATGCTGGGGAGACCCAGAGAGGAGGAATGTGGGTATCGGTGGTGTGATCAGCCCCAAGGGTCTTCTGTGATCTAACCTATCACAGCTATACCCTGCTGAAACTGCACAGGGGCATAAAGCAGCCAACCATTTTGAATCTGACTGGGTGCCCAGCTTTAACACCTCAATTCTAATGTGACCTTGTGACTTTAATGATCACAGGTGGTCAGATCCTTGGTTTTACAGCTCACCAGAAAGATGGTCACTTCCAGAAGCACAGTGCCTCTTCTACCTTGAAAAGATAGGAAGAGTGCCATCTGCTTGATCACCATCATCTCTTTTAGCAGCACATTTCCTCTAACCCCAGTGCAGATTTCTGTCAACAGCGATATTTTATTCCTCCAAAGTTTCTCAGGGCATAGTCCATTTCTCAAGTTTGCAGCTCTTTTGAGGATGTATAGCATGAAACCTTTTCAGTGCTGTTGTATGGACTGAATTTGGAGCTACCCCCTACAGTGTCCAGTATATGGCCACAGGAGCACATGTCATCAGTGCAACAGGAATGGGTGGAACAAAAACAGCTATACTATTCAGTGTATACTATACTTTTGTGTAATGTAAAAGGATCATATCCAGATTCCTGGTATTCACAGAGAGAAAGTAACATGGAATGATTGGGTTACAATTTTTTGGAGGCAAAGGTTGGGTGTGGTTATATTGACTGATGGGAAATGAGCCTGAGAACTTTATATAATTGAACCCTTGATCATTTACGATAGACCAAATCATAGGATCATAACTTCTTTTTCAGATAAGTATATCAATAAATTGGCACAAAAGACAATCCTTTAGAATATTGGACAGAGCCTTTTCTTTTCTGATCTCAGCCTTTTTCTATTAACTATCAGAGAACAGTGAACCATCCAGGAACTAAATCTTTCTTAACATCAGTGCCACCTGCCTTGAGGTCCCAATGGAAAGTACCTGGCTGATTCCAGTGAGAATTTTGCCTGAGTGAGAATTAGTATGGACTCCAGAGTTTGATTCAATAACTCTAAGAAAAGAATAGCCAAGACCCAGTAAGTCAGTATTGCCCATGTTTTCTGATTATCTTCACATCAGTAGCATTTTCAGATGATTTAAGAATAATGGAAGCTACAGACATCAAACAGATCAGTGCAAAAGTACAAGGTACTGTGGCTAACCTCACATATCAATGGCCTCTCATTCACCTTTCTTTTGTGT